CCCCGGAGGAAAACTCCGTGTTGCCTAGACCACGGCCTTGCCCAACACAAGTTATAAATTCGGGCACCGCCGGGAATCGAACCCGAGACCCCAGGATTACACGGCCAGCGTTCTAATCGCTAGACCACCGTGACCTAACATAACATAAAAGACCCATCATTCTAACCGGAAGTTAAAACGAAGAACGCGAAAGCCCATAGGAACTCCATAACACAGTAGCATTTGGAAACAGAACAAATATGGAGGTGGATAAATGATTCCGGTGAACCCCAAATTACGTTTATGGTACCAACATTCCGGTGGTCCACATGAGTTACAGTAACCCAGGACACATGTAGAATTTGAGGTTCTCACGGCGATGAGTTTGAAGATTGCTGTCTTCTGGGTTGTTGCGCCGTGTAGTCTGGTAGAAGTTTATCGACGTTTCAGATGTCCTTGCTGCCTCCATCACCAGGACGATGATGATTATGACCATTTTACGCTCATAATAACACTGTACATTATTCAAATAAGGTAGTGTCGTTAAAAATTCTAAGAATCAATCGCTTTACAATTGACAGTCATCCAACCGTATCCTTTTCATCATCTTAATGATGGAGGCAGCAAGGACGTCTGAAACGTCGGCGCAACAATCCAGAAGACAGCCAATATGGAACTACAAAACGAGAGGAAACATGAAATAAAAGTAGGTGATAAGCTGTCACGTTGGAAGCTGGAAATCTCTTTACTAAAGTTTGCGAACAAGTTTCATGTTCTGCTTCCGTGATCTTCAGTCGTCGGCAGAGTAGTCTGAAGGCAAGAGACTGTCACTTTAAAGCCTTAAAATGACCTGGGACACACTTCATCTGGGCTCTCGCTTCGAATTTTTACAAACGTCTACCACAAGTTACGCGCTGAGCCCTGATGATGCAGACAGCAAGGACCTCCGAGGCGTTTATAAACTTTTGCTACGACCCATAAGACAGCCATCTTCTCAATAAATTCCGTTTGTTTCGAAAAGAAATAACAATCCACGTCATTTGTTGTGTCCTCATACATAAATGACTGCAAAAGCCTAGCTCCGAATTCTACAGTCCACAGTTATGGCACATCTCCAACAGCTCCGCTCTCTTGTTACACAATAACTGTTCTTATGACTCTGAATATTCTGCTTACTTCTCAATAGTCACTTATGTGACACTAATTTTATTTTTCCATTAACATCTAATTTCATACAGAATTTTTTTTGTAGTTTTACTTTCCTTCTCCGTCTTTCTACGCTAATTTTTATTAATTAAATGCATATCTTATTAGCAACAATTTTTACACGAGGGGCCACTACTGAGACACAGAAAGGCAAAAGATTTGAGCTTCACGAAAAGAGTTGCTGCACTGTACAGACATGGACCAAAATGAATTAAGGCCAGCAACGTTTAGTGTTTAGCTAAAACAAATTTAATTAGGATCAGCTGCACTATAAAGACGTATGAGAGGTCAGTAAAGTTCTCTCCCTCATAATACAATTTTATACGCTTCGTGCAGAGAACGCATAAACCGATTTATGGGATCGCTGTCTGTCTGTCTGTAGCGCCATTTTCATTCTAAACATACAGAATGTAGCGGCCTTCTGTTAAGCGCGCCTCCGTCGAATTCGTTAGGTTTTAGGTTCAAATTTTCACTCGGAGACCCTGACATAAGTTCGTGGTTGTTCCCAGTCACAATCTTAGTTGCTTGCAGCGTCAATAAATGCCTGAAGAATAATTAATGTAAATTAGTATGAATAATTTGTCAGATTGAAATAAAATCTAATTTCATAGATCTTTATTTTTTTTTTATTATTTAGTGCTCTGTCTGACGAGAGGTCCATATGAACAGGATCCTTCCATCCTTTTCTCGGACTGGGACCTGTTCATATACGTTCTTGGCAGATGATCCAGAAGTGGTTTGCCATTGCCTTCTTCTGTGTGTGAATGGAGTAATTGTTGGGATGCCACGGAGGAAAACTCCGTGTTGCCTAGACCACGGCCTTGCCCAACACAAGTTATAAATTGGGGCACCGCCGGGAATCGAACCCGAGACCCCAGGATTACAAGGCCAGCGTTCTAACCGCTAGACCACCGTGGCTTGATACTCATTTACTCATTATTAATTAGGACCAAATATGGTAACCAGGAATACAATGAGTTGGAAATTTAGCTCAGTTTTGAACGTCTTATCACAGCATAAACGAAAGTTTTTGTTAGTTGTCACGCGCTGTAAAATAGCCTTCAGAAATTATTTGTGTCGAATGAGATGAGTTGATACACTAACTATGCACTTTGGAGGATGTTGAATTAAAAGTTCTGGCATGTTTTGAGGGGCTACCGAAAGAAAATGTTAAAATTTCCAGTCCGGAGAGTCAGCCGACCGGTTTTCGGGCTTTGTATATTCAGTTAAGAAGTCAGACTGGGTTTAGTTCATATTTGAAGCTTGCTTCCTGTATTAAAGTGAGTTTAAATTAAAATGATCATCGCCCTGATGACGGAGGCAGTATGACCTCTGAAACGTTGGTTAACATCGACCAGACTACACAGCGCAATAACCCAGAAGACAGAAATCTTTAAAATGATATACATTAAAGTTTTGTAGAGTTTTTAAACCACATTTTTTCAGTAAACTCAGCAACGAAATAAAGGTTTAGCGTAACTCGAAAAATTCGAAAATACTGTTTGTTGACATTTTATGTAGAAGCCCACAAAGATATTCTTGGTTCAGTAAAAATATGAATACTGTCATTTGTACCACGTGCGAACAAATATTACACTCGAGATTATAAAAAAATTATTCCATACGTTCCGCACAAGTTTAAAAACAGCAATTCAAAGTTTTCAAAAGCAAGTAAGTCTATCTTATTTCATTTTACACACGGTCTTAGAGAGCTAATATGACACTTTCCAAACACAGAACTGAATAAATTTGCATCAACAGAAATTGTTCCCACTTTTGGTAGACATTCAGCGCCAAGGATTAGCTGCAGTTTCTACGTCTCTGTCGCAAGACTGTGTGTGGAGTGTCGCAGTGCGGAGGTCAAAGGGTTTGCTCAGGAGGAACTCCTTGAGAATTTCGGGAAACTTCGTATTTTCCTTGCTGTTTGCACACGTCAATGTTAATATTTGGACAGTAGCTTAAAATGTTCATAAAAGCTGGAAATAATTTTCAGAATCCCTTTCAGTACTATTCTAACATTCAGGAGTGTCGAAATAACACGTTCTCAAGTGATCTTGAGAGCACAAAGTCTCGTGATACTGAACGAGGCATTTATTGGTCGATGTTTCCAAAATTTGCGTCTGTTCCGCGGTGTGGGGAGGTGAGTCTTGAAGATCCAAAATTTTCTTGTCAACCCAAATATTTTTAGATGAAATTTTAAATTTTAAAAATTTGCATATGGAATAGTTTTTGGATTCTATAGCATGAAGAGATTTGCAGTTAATAATTTCTTTAAAATCAGAAGAACGAACCAGGTTTCTCCGTGGCATCCCAACAATTACTCCATTCACACACAGAAGAAGGCAATGGCAAACCACTTCTGGATCATCTGCCAAGAACGTATATGAACAGGTCCCAGTCCGAGAAAAGGATGGAAGGATCCTGTTCATATGGACCTGTCGTCACACAGAACACTAAATAATAATAAAAAAAATTATTATTAAAGGAAAAATTTATTCCAGCGTTATTACTAAAGATTCTGAGCAAATTAATTTTGTGCTGATTCTCGCATAAGAGGAAACAGATCCCTATGGCAAAAATACACGAACTCCCAACTACGAAATAAATTTATTCCTTGCGACTATCTCACAAAACTGTTGAATTAAGAAGTTACGAAATCTAGCACACTCCAAATCAAATTGTTTCTGATAGGTACAAAAAATCAAATTTCTCTAACAAATGAAATAAACAAAACTTCTCTTAAATAAACGAATAAACATCGAAATACACGAAAGGTAATATCACAATGGCCAATTGGCCAGCTATAACACAGGCAGCGTCGTATCAAGAACGGAAGTTTATGAATATCACGAGAGATATAGTCAGTCAGGATATTCAGAGGCCAGAGGTTAGGCAACGACCTTGAACCCCGACCTCGACCAGCAGTCTGGTGTAGACATGAGCTTTCGTAATGACGTCATCGCTACACCGCAGCACTTGGACCGCAAAGGGGAGGGGGGGGGGTTCTGACGCCAATGCAGCTG